TTGTAACAATTGCCTGGATGTATGACTGACATCTTAAAACAAAGTTCAGCAAACTCTGTAAAGGGTCAGGTAAATAAACATGTTAGGTTTCATAAGCCATACAGTCTATGTTGCAATTGTTCTTTGTAATTAAGTAAATGTGCTACAGTGTGTTCAAATAAAACCTTACTTGCAAAAACTATCAGAAGGCTGGGTTTAGTTGTGTGTAATAATTCAATAAAGCACTTTAACAGCAATCAATGGTTTTTGTTTTTTAATTTCAGTTTTGAAAAATACATTAAATTACATATTCATATTAAATTAAGTAATTAATGTATGACAGGTCACTTTGGATCTGTTTTCATTTGGGTACAAGAAAGAATTCAATACATTTGGTATATGACTAAGGAAAATAATGGGAACAGAATTAAAACAATTTGAATACAGTGCCAATGCTGGGAGATAACAAACATGCCCCAATCTGGCCAAGGAGCAGAAGACTGCGGGAGAAACTTCTGTAAAAGAACCCTCATTTCCTTAAATACTTTGTATCTAGACAAGGTACTCAACTCATCCCTGCAGCTAACCAAAACAAAAACCAATCTTAGTCTAAGCCAGGGTATTAAATCTTAGAACTTAGTCTAAACTAAGTAATTTTCTATTACTCACCGTGCATCTTAAATGTAAAGGCTCAAAACTTTACAAATTCACCTGCAGCAAGTCTTAATTTCAACTGTTTACAAATTAAAGGAAACATTAAAGGTCCTGAAAGCTATTAAGAATTAACTAAAGTTTAAAAATACTCTATATCAATTACTGATAGTGAAGCAACTTTATAAATTTTACTATCTTAGACAAAATAATGTAGTACTCCTTTCTTTATACTGTATCTAAAAGCATGCCCAACCCCACCCAGTCAACAGGGATTGACTCCTATTAGCTATGCTACCAGTAAACTGTATCTGCAGTCCTTTGTTCTTTTTTATTTTGAGATGGGGCTGAGGTCTCACTAAATTTTCCAGGATGGCCTTGAAACTTGAAATCCCCTGCCTCATCCCAGGGCACTTAGGATCAGAAATCTGTAGCACGAGGCCCAGATTGAACATTCTTTCAATATAGTAGAGCTTTTTGTTCTTGTTTTTCTTTTAAGCTACAGGTAAGCAAATTCTCTCTGCAAAAAAAAAAGGCAAACAGTAACTGTTTTAGGTTTTTTTAGTCATATGGTTTGACATCATGGCTTAAAAGTAGCCATAGACAATATGTAAGCAATTGGCATGGACAAGTTCCAATAAAATTTTATTTACAAAAACATGAGCAGGCTGGATTTGCCCTATAGATTTTAACTGGTAGACTAATACACAAAAATTACTAAACAATCTTTCCAAATAAATTAACTTTACTACTTTATTAGTTCCAACATACATAAATCATAAAGAAATGCAATAAACATAGATGTATAAAGTTTAGTGACCTTGTTTATATACATAAAACATATTACATGTAATTTAGAATTATCACACCATGGTGGCATATACCTTTGATCTCAACATTCTGGAAGCAGAGGCAGGTATCTGTGAGTTCCAGGCCAGCCTAGTCTACATAGGAAGTTACAGGACAGCCAGGGCTACAGAGACCCTGTCTCAATACAAACAAAACAACAAGGAAAAAAATCTAGTTATTGGGGCAGGAGAGAAAGCTTAGTGGTTGAAAGCACTGGCTGCTCTTGAAGAGGACCAGGGTTTGACCCCCCAGCGTCCACATGGCAGCTCATGGCTGTCTGTAGCTCCAGTTCCAGGGTGTCTGGTACCCTCATGTGGACATGCACATGAAATAAAAATCATTTTAAAAATTCTAGTTATTTTAAATTGATGAATTTGCAAGGCCTGCTATACATAACTGTTATTCAATGTTGAGGAAGCTCTATATAACCCCCACCTTTTCTGAGAAGCTGGTACTAGAGCCCACTATTAAAGATGGAAAAGGAATTAATCACATAGACAACTTTTCCTCTCTAAACAATTTCCAGGTAAAGATACATATTATATAGATACATTGCTATTCCAAATCACACACCTATTTCAAAAGACAATATTTTGTGCTTATGTGTGCAGTGTATGTGTATGTACCTGTTTGTATGTGTGCATCAACTTCTACCATGAATTTATGCTATAAAGGTAAACCTTACCTCTAATCATTAACCAAGAAAATCGGCACATGTGCTCACACAAACGCTTCTGAGAATAAGGACAGCAAATCCCACTCATTTCAATTTATGAAAATTTGAAAAATACAATTACTTCATGTCTAATATAAGTAACAAACACTGTGTCAAGGTTTGTTATAGCACCTTGCCCTAACAGGCTTGAGACCCACAGATCAGGAGCAAGGCGTGCTCATCCTTGCAGAAAAGGGTAACCACTTTCTATACACAAGACAATTACCTATGAAAAATGGGGCCGAGGATAGGATTGCCGGGTTCTGGGGCGAGAAGACAAGTTTTTTACTCTGTGGCTTAATGTCTTTCTGGGTGTTACAACTTTACCATATAATGCATTACCTTTATAGTTGTTTTTTAAAAAATGGTTTAAGATATAAATCCAATATAAATACCAAGAAGCACACAGAAACTGAATGAATGGGCCAGATGGGATAGCTGTAACACACCTAGAGAGGGAGCAGCTCCCAGTCAGACTGCATACCTCTATCTCCAACGCCATGAACTACTGAAGTCAGGGCTTTCCCGGAACACCCTCTAGTGACACCTATGGTCAAGAAACTTAAAATAGCCTCATAGAGAGCAACTCAATCCACATTCACACTCAGGATGTCGACAGGGTCAATTATAGTGCCCACCAGTTCCTCATCTGCAAGGGACCCAAGACATCCAAGAGGGACTTCCTTACTTCCCAGATTGCAGCAGTAAGAGGCACAAGCCATGCAAGAAAGATTTTCATCTCCCAGACTGCACCAATAACAGGAAACTATTACCTATGCCCTACAGATATGTTCCATCTGCACTGCTCAGGCTTCACGACCACAATGGGACAGTATTTCAAGGCTTTGGTCTTTGGGAGAAAAGTTAAAGTATTACCACCCCATTTTGAAATGGGTCAAGTTAAAATGCATTAAATTTAAAATGAATGAAAATCCAGGACTCTCATCATCACTCAATATTTCAGAATCCACTACATCAGACCGTACATAACTTTTATACTAAAAGATTGAGAAATGAAAACAAAATCAATCTGTAAATCTTCCAACTACTCGCCAGAGATTTAAAAACTGGCTAATAATTCAATTCTGTCCTTGGGAATGGTGAAAAGCAATAAACAAAACCCAGCTCTTGCTCCTGTCACTACTGACAACTGAGGGAGAGCCAAGGCTGTTGTCAAACCCTCACACAGACAAGCAGCAGGCATTTCCACCTGAGCAGTCAGTTTCCACAAAATTAAGATTCAATCTGTTGTTCCCACAGTAAAATCTACTAATTCTAGTCTACAAACATGTCTGAGCTCCTCCTACATTCTCTCTTGTCTGAAGCTCCGGGAACAGTATGTAGGACCCGCAGAGGCAAGGGCTTAACATTTCTTAAGTGTCACAAGCAAACTCCTTCTCATGTAAACAAAGCTAAAGACTCCTAGTGACTATTCGTTCCAAAGATTAACTGCTTATTAAATTAAAAAATACAGTTTTCAAAGGGGCTTTAAAAAAAAGTCAGTGTAATTCTTTTCACAGCACACTGACAACTTGAAACGTCGTCTGCACTTTGTCATATTTGAAGAAATGATTATTCTGGAAGATAAACTGCACACCGGTGCAAGCACAGAAATTCTAAAGAATAAAAAAAATGCAAACACAATCCTAAAAATTAGCTTCTCTTTCCAGATCTAGTGCTGCTGTATTGGCACGCGGATTAAGCCATTATTTATGCAGCAAAATGAACAGGGTAATTGTTTATTCTGTGTTCCGTCATGGTCCTGTAAGTATTCTACAAAAAAAAAAAAAAAGACAAAAAGATGCTCGGTCAACAACAGACTGCAGTGTCCAAGTACTCTTTCATCACATAAGCCCTCATTATCGTGGGCTTTTACATTTACATCATGCAAATCTTGGTGCCACCACACAGCCGACGGGGCATTGCACTCGCACCTCTTCTACAAAATCTCAACTGTATTTTAATACATTTTTTATGAAGTTGACCTCTTGAAACACATTCCCAACGAATGACCACTCTTTTAGGGTGAGGGGGGAAGAAAACCACCCAGAATCCTGGCAACACTTAAACATCTGTGTAGGAACAGCCGTGCTATTTTCACTGAAATAACGCACGGCCCCCTTTCAAACTTAGCTCGGAGACGGAGTTCGGGAGCACGGAAAGGTAGGGATGCGAACTTTCCTCGTGGGGTCTGCTAACACTGCACAGGGCGACTCCGCGACCCGGGCCAGGTCGAGGGGCCGGGAGGGCGGCAGCAGCAGGTAAGGGCGGCCGGGAGTCGGGGCCTGGCCTCCCTCGCGGGCTCGCGCGGCGGGAGCGGCCGGGGCCCCAAGCCCGGCAACGCGACAGCCCTCCCGCTGCTAAAGCGTCCACACGCTCTCTAGTAATCCAACACCCCGACTTTCAAACGGGAGGCTGGGGGAGAACTTCCAACCGTGCCTTCCCTCCCCGGGGGGCGAGCGAGCACCCCCGACCTGCGCTCGCCACGGCCCTCGGGGGCGCGCCGGGCCGAGCCGGGGCCCAGTCTCACGGCGGCGGGAACCCGCACGGCCCGACGCCCGGGGCGGCCAGGCCGACGGCGGACGGAGCGAAGCGGCAGGAGACGCCGGGGAAGCGGCCTGGCTCAGCCGTTAACGACCGCGGCGCCTCTCGGGCGGCCAGGAGCGAGCGAGCCCGTCTCGGAGACGCGCCAGGCCCGGGCCGCGGCGCCACACAGCCCGGCAACTTCTGGCCGCCACCTCAGCGCCTCGGCGGGGGAGAGCGGGCCACCGGGCCGGGGGCAGGGAGCGCGCCGAGCAGGGCTTACCCCGAAAATGAGCGGCTCCTTCCCTGCCCGCCGCCGACTGGCTGAGGCGCGGCTCGGCGGGGGCGTCGCGGCTGGCAGTGAGCGAACGGAGAGGCGGCGGTGCGAGTCCTGAGCCGCCTGAGAGGAGACGCGCCGCCGCCGCCGCAGACAGCTCGGCAATATGGCCGCCCGGCGCCTCCTCGGGGGGGAAGGCGGGGCCGCCCCGCGCCCCCTCCTCCCGCGGCCCGCCAGTGGCGGGCGAGGCCGGGGCCCGAGCGCCAACGCCGCGGCCGCAGCGACGGCGTGTCTCCCGGCCCTCCCGGGGGGGGGGGGGGGTGCTCCGCGCCACTGGTCGAGACGAACGGGCCTCAGCCGGGGGACGCGCTGCCGGGCCTTGGAGAAGGCTTCCCGAGGGACGAGGACGCCGCTGGCCGGCGGGAGCCCGAGTCCGAAGCCCGCAGTGAAGGAAGCGGAGCCGCCCGCCCGCCGCCTGCCCCCGCCCCGCCAGTGGAAACTTGAAACTCCCGCTGGTGCCAGGGAACTCACGGAGGGCGTTTCCAGCGCCCCCGAGGTGGAGCTGTTCCCAGGAGGAAGGGGGGGACCCGAGGAGCCGCTCCAGAGTGTATTTGGGTGCCGAGCATCAGGATCCCAGGCTAGGAGGGGGGATCTAGGCCCAGCAGTTTCAACAAAAGAACATTAATTTTGTGCAGATTTTAACCAAATAGAAAAGCTGGGTGCTTTCAATTTTGCAGTGTTTTAAGTAATCTCAAAAAGCCAGTGGGCATGACCCTATAATGTGATCGGGTCTTTTTGTTGTTTGTAGCAGGGATACTCCTTGGCAGATAGGCGTAGGTTAAGAAAAAGTTAGAAGTAGGGCCCAAAGACCAGCCAAACCTAAATTATGCTGGACTTGGAGAAAGTTCGCCCTCTTGACCATAGTCTCATTGTAGTCCCCTCGCTAGCCTAGAGAGAGCGGCTGGTTGCTTCTGGGGGGGTTCTCTCCGTGCTGCTAGCCTGGGTGTTTTCTGCTGGGATTCAGAGTAACACTTGGTACGACTGTACAAACAACAACGACATAAACCTTACCACTCTGCCGCATTCCATTGAAGATGCTTTATTTAATGTAACTTTCGTAGACGAACTTTCAAAAAAAAAACTCTAGTTTACTTTTATAGAACAAATAATTCCTCTTACCGGCTTTTGCTGAGAAAGTAGCTTTTCCGGGAACCCAGCACACACCTTCACCAAGCTTCCTCTTCAGTGAGTTACCACCACCGCCCTTAGAGACCTCACTAAACAATTAAAAAGCCTCCAGAGAGTCCAGGTTAATCTCAGAAGCCTTTAGATTGCAAATTCCTCAAGGATGGGGAGCAGGTGCGTGCTTTGTAACCAAACAGGTTCCTGAGGTTCTTGGAGACCACCGAAGGAATACTTGCTGGCCCTCCTTCCACGGTGCGTCAATGGAACAGTAAAAATGGTATTCAAGTCCCTACGTAGAGCACAAATCAAACTAAAGTCTCTGGAACATTTTGCAGCTGAAAGTGGAGCGGTCAGCCTTGGTCACGTGTTCAGAACGGTGTGAAGCGCTTTCTCATGACTGCCTTGTCTAATGATTACGACATCCTGGGCTCAGGGTGAAAGCTCTTATTGACTTTAAAATAAGCTAATGAGTAAAGGGGAGCCTCTGAAGAGGTGTTTGTCAATGCAGCCTTCCTGGGAAATGGCAGAGCCAAGACTTAACACCCGAACGCAGGAGCCTTGAGCCTATCCTATGCTCTGCACAAACAAATCCAGGCCGTTGTAGCATTTCAGCTGTCTATCATAGCTGTAAATATTTAAGTAAAAGATTGTATTCAAGCTGGGAAGATAAAAATGGTACTCCCAAACGCTGAGTGGGAATGTAAACTGAGACAAATTCTAGCAAACAATTTGGTGTGGTGATTCAGCCTTTAAGAGGGCTCATAACTCTTAGAACACATAATCCCACATTTGGGGTTCTTTCTGAAGGAAATAATCTGAAATAGAGCAAAAACTCCATCAAACATTACCACATATTAAACAGAAACATGCTGTTTTAGTTTGTTCTTCACATCAAATATTAGCACTTTTAAATGAAATATTGAATATTTGATCTAAATATCCCAAAACTTCAATTTAGTGATGTTGGCATGTGTATTCGCCTGGTGTTGAGCCTTTGCTGAACAGGTGCTCTCCCATGCAGCCAGGTGCTCACCCCTGAAAGTTCAGTGTGAGGGAAAGAGCCACACAGATTTCCTAAAACACTCCTGTTGTTCTGGAAAGATGCTTGGTGTTAGCTAATAGTTACCGATATACTTTTAAGTAGCAAATAAGATATTTTAAAATCATAGTTAGAAAAGTGACTAACACCTTTAATCCCAGCACGCAGGAGGTAGTAGCAGGCAGATCTCTGTGAGTTAGAGGCCAGCATGGTCTACAAAGTGAGTTCCAGGACAGCCAGAGCTACATAGTGATACCTTATCTCTAAAAAAAAATTATTACCAAAATCTCTATACTACACTCTTATTGGACTTCACCACAGTGTGTTGGCTTATTCTAATTTTCTAATTTTTGGAATTCCACTGCTAGTTGTAAAAGCATTGATCTTACTAACACACATAAAAGTACTTCCTGAAATGAAGAAAATTAATTTTTTTACAAAAATAATTTATAAATAATTTTTTTTTTTTTTTTTGAAGCTAGGCTACAAGCCCTTGCTAGTTTATAAGGCTGGCCCTCTGTTTGGGTAAGGAAGAAAGCAAACGGTGCTGTGTGTTATGACGGTAATAAAGGTCCACACACAGCAGCTAGGGAGATAGAAGAGAGCAATCAAGTCTGCCCAGAGAAGAGAACACTGCAGGAGCAGGGGCTGAGAGGAGAGTGGAGTGGAGACATTTCCTCAGAGAAGCCAGGAAAGGCAGCAGCTCTGGGTGCTGAGAATCAATGTGTGGCTGAAACCCAGGGGCCTCAGAAAGGTAAGTGAGGCAGTGAAGAGTTTTCCCCTGCTTAAGACTTAGGCATTGAAGAAAGGAGTGCCAGGTGGGATGACCAACCAACATCTGATTGGATTTAAGGCCCACACCCTGAGATGGAACCCATCCCCAACTCTGCTTGGGTGGCAAGAACCAGACACCAAAAAGCTAGTGACCTAGGGGGGGAAAAACAATACTACTGTTCTGCTAAGGGAACAAAAATAAAATGACTCCTAACACTTAGTGCTGCACTCATAGATCAGTGACCTGCTTAGCCTTCAGCAGAGAGGGCTCCTCCTGCTGTAGGCAGGAACAAATTCAGAGACCCACACAGCAAGACAATGTGCAGACAGTGAGAGTCCTAAATGGGGTGAGCCCTTCCCTCAGAGCTCAGGGAACCCCGTGGAAGAGAAGATTGTAAGAGCCGGAGGCCATGGAGGATACCAAGGAAACAAGGCCTTCTAGACATAGCAAGATGGACGCACAGAGACTGTGGCAGTGTGCCCAGGACCTGGACAGGTATGCATCAGATAGGGTCCAGCACTGAGAGGAGAAGTAGTCACAAACCCCCATCTTCAACTGCCTTCAACTGATAACCACCCACAAATGAAAAGCTAGTTCTCTCCAACAGATCTCACTGAGAACGCAAAGCACCCTTAAGGGCAGGCCCCATGTCTAGAAGTAGATGGCCAACACAAACAAGGTCAACGGCATCTTTGAGGTTCTTAGTCTAATGCTTTCTTGCTGTTGTTTAACCTTACAGATCCCCTTGTATATCTTATGGCTTTCAGTTTTGTGTTTTTATGGGATTCCTGTGTATAAGAGTGCATGTCTATTTCTGTAACTAACTATATGTGTTTCTTGTAGTTTTTTTCAAGGGCTCTTCTTTTCACTTTGTTCTATTCCAGTTTGTTTTGTTTTGTTTTAATATTATTCTTTAGATGCCTGTCTGTTTTTTAATGAGACACAGGAAAGGTGTGGATTCTTGTGGGAGGTGCTGTGCAACTCCTTCAGCCAATAGCCTTTAATAATAAATGCCAAGAGGAAGGGATTTAGAGAGGATCTCAGAGAAGTTATAGTGAGAAAACAGTAATCAGAATATATTGTATAAAAGATTATTTTCAATAAAATTAAAATAGAGGGGGAAAGAGGAATAATATGATTCAGTTTATATTTTAGTAAGACACCTGACAACAATGCAGATTGCATGGTTCTGTTACAGTGGGCAATGAATTTACAAGGAACACCTTAGATAATTTGGCTACAAAGCCCTCCATGGGAAGGCAGGACGGGCTAAGCTTGGGAGATGGTGGGGATGCAGAAGGGAGTCAGGATTTGTTAAGAGAGTTGGGGACAGACTGAAGAGAAGTACGAATGAGGTGGTGCTTTCAGGATTTCTTCTGTGTTTCCAGAGGGCAAACAGGAACATAGAGAGATGCTTTTGCCACTCCCCAGAGAGGGGCCATACTGGCTAGTCTTTGTCAGCTTGACACAAACTAGGAAGAGGGACCCTCAACTGAGAAAACAGCTCTTGTCATTTTGGCCTGTAGGCACATTTTGGGCCATTTTCTTGACTACTGACTGGTTGGTGTGGAAGGCCCATCCCACTCTATGTGCTACCATTCTGGTCCTGGGTAGAATGGAGCAGGACCCATATGGCTTGTTCTTTGTTTCTATCATAATCTAAAGGAAAACACTCCTAGGATCCAGGGCCCTTGATGTCTTGTCACCAGTTCAGAAGGATGTCTTCAAATTCCTTGCAACTGGGACCCACTGAAATGCTGTTTTACTTAATATCCATTGTCAACCTGTTGTAGTGAACACATAGGACATTAGTGAGTTATACCTCTGAGTATATCGCAAGGGCCTTTTCAGAAAGACTTTACTAAGAGGAGAAGATCTTCCCTGAATGTGGGTGGCAATATCCCATGTGCTAGAATCCTGAACTGGATAAAGAGAAAGGGAGATGACTGAGCAGTGGTCATGCACACCTTTAATCCTAGCACTTGGGAGGTAGAGGTAGGAAGATCTCTGTTAGTTGGAGGTTAGCCTGGTCTACAGAATGAGTTCCAGGAATGTCAGGGCTACTCAAAGAAACCCTGTCTCAAAAAACTTGGTAGATAGATAGGTAGGTAGATAGATAACAGACAGATCTGCTATGAA